TGTGTATGTGTATGTGTATGGCTTTGTGAGTGCGTTTTGTTTACTTTGCATAAAAGCTCAGGCATTGAAAACTAAAATACTGCACAATACATTGAGACTTTGTATTGCAAAGCATTAGCCGCCTTTTCACTTCAATTTTCTTCACACACACACACACACACATACACACACATTGAGAGAAACAAACAAACAACCATGTACACAAATGTGTCTTTTCATTGTATGTGTGTGTGTGTGTTTGTGTGTGACACATTTCTGCCTAATATATGTAGTTAGATTGATAAAAACTGCCTTCAGCTGCCCCGAAAGCCACTTGGCTTAAAACATTTCCAAATAAACTTAAGCATAATTACACAACAAAAACAACAATCAAGTTGTTGAACTTGTCACATCGTATTGCCAGAGATTAGATATAATAATATTTGAATGAAATGTTGCATAAAGTGTTTTATAATAATGCATATAAGGTCTTTGGCAGAATTTCATATTTAAGAGATTATTGGTACATTTCTTCCTTTCCAAACTGTTGTATAGAGACAAGTTAATACCTCCTTTAATAGCACTAATACGATTTGCTTTGTAGCCGCGGTTTTCAAAAAGAAGAACGGAAAATTAAACCTCCTCCTCGTGCAATTCGTAGAAAACATAAAATAATTCGCAGAATTCTACTTTAAAATATATTTGAATGATCATAAACTTATAAATGTTATTAGAGCATCTGTACAAATATTTAAATATTGTTTTTTGGTTTATAATTGTAGTTGCAAAGTCTTTTTTTTTTTTTGTTTTATTCTTTTTACTATTTGAAAGTTTTTGCTTTTCATTTACCTGAAAAAGAACGAGAAGAAAAGAGAGCAGGCAATTGGAATTTCCTACAAACGTACACGATATAGTTCATTAAATGTAATGTGGATGGAAAAATTTGTAATTAAGACATGCTCGCTGCACTATCTGCAAGATAGGTCCACTTGAATAAAAACGATTATTTTACATTCTAATATTTATCATTTATTTTCAAAAATTTCACACATATATACGGTTTTTTTTTTCTGTAAATGCGACGAATGGCAGACTAACAATGGGAACAATTTCTGTAAGCTAGTTCTTGTATATGTTACAAATAAATATGCAGAAATAGAAATAATTAATAAATAACTAATTCAGGAAATATGTGCGACTCGTTGAGGCAAGATATGCCTCGTTACGCTGCATGTATTATCAGGGAATTTCCCAGAAAGAGACACTTCTGATGAGTGGAGAGAAAGTGCTGTTAGGCTGCAGAATAAGATCATAGCAGTTATGGAGCACCCCCTTAACGATTTCTAGTGCTTTTTTCACAATGGAAAATGGCCCCGAGTATCTTTAAGCTGCCAGCCTAAAAGTATGCCACATATTTTTTCATGTGCTCGTACTGCCTTATACCCTCGCTAACACAGAGTATGCCTGGTGTACATATGTATATGTATATATAGTATGTATGTGTCGATATGTATGTACATACATATATACATACATGCATATTTATGGATGAAGACCAAAATATTAGTGCGTGTGTCTGAGTGTGTTTGTGTGTGAGCTTAAGGTGTTGCCAAAAATGCATTCAAATAAGCAGCTAGCTAGTTAAGCAACAGCCACAAATCACTTGCCATATACAAACACATACATGGTTGCACTTATGTGCGTGTATGCATGTATGTGTGAAGTACGAGTGTATCTGTATTTGCATTGCCATTTGAGAGCATGTTGGTCTGCGCCTAGCCAGATTATATAGTATGTATGTATGTACGAGTATATGTTCTTATGCATTTTGAATGCCAGAAAATGACGGGCGATGGAGAGGCAACTGCATGACAAATGCGCCGCTTCATCAGCGGGAACGCTGAGCAAGCGGTGGCAGCATAGCAGAGAGGGGGGCGAGGCGGAATATACCAGGTGAGGCCGGAAATAGGACGCGCCTGTTTTTTTCCTCAGGTTTTTAGCTGCCACTGCTGCAATCAGCAAGCGAATCAGTGCCAAATGCAGCTCGTTAGGCAAACACACACACACACATGCACAGGCGTGCAGTGATTCATGTTTATGGACGCATGGATATGTGTGTGTGTCCCTTTCCAACTTCGCGTTTTGCCACAATTCGGCGTTGGGCTCCGAAAAAAATAAATGCTTGAACGCACTAGTTGGCAAACATGCAAGGCCTGCCTCGTCCCTCCTCCACACCCCACTCTTATCTGTGCACATTTGTAAAAGGATTTGCGAGATCTTCAAATGGTAATAAAAATAAAACTTTTATCTTAAACAGACAATTTTAAAAATGCTTTTACTTAGATACAAATTAACATCTAATATCCTAAGATTGAACAGTTAATAAAATATAGACTTATAGCTGCAAAGCAATAATTACACATGTACATATGTGTATGTGTGTATATAAATGAAATAAATAAATGATTATATATACGATTTAGATAAAGTCCCTTTAAATAGCATGGGCCCATTAAATACGTCCCTCTCGATGGGCCTGCCTTACAAAATACTTCCTTAATTGGGTTAATTCCTTTAATAGTTCTAGTGGCTGACGACTGTTATTCGCCCTTAAAAAAGAAAACAATATAAACCATATTATTTATATTATTTATTTATTTATTTTCAACTTTTATTTGTTGCCCAATCACACAACAAAAAAGACTGGACCAAGCTTACTAATTATCAGCGACGCCATCGATCCTTATTTAGGAGCTATGGAGCTAATTTTGTTAATTAGTGTTGTCTGCCACAGCGATTATCTCTTTTGTTCTCCTGTTGTTGGATCTGCAATGTAGAATGTCTGTGAAAAAAAAGACAAAGGCCTACCTGACAACTGACAGTACGATTATTCATTCAGTTTTATTTATTTTTTAATTGTTGGAAGAACATGAAACATTGGCTTTAGTTCTCCCCAACTCTTTTCAATAAATCGGGTTTTGATTCACACAACAATTGTGCAAGATGAACGTTTTTGTTGAGCCAAAAATGTTTGCTAAACAAAGTAATAATTCTAAAATATTAATAAATTAAAGTGAAGACTGACTTTTGTAGTGATGGTCGAAACATCTTTATTTATTTTTTTGCACTATTTTGTATTTATTATTATCTATTTTTTAATATAAGTGTATTGCTCTTTAAATTAAATTTGCTTTTTATTGGGTTTTTTTAGTCTGAGGCCATTACACTGCTTAACCCCCAGCATAGATTTGCTCCTCAGCCTAGACAAATAAAATCGATATTGTTTGTTGAATTACTTATATTTCTTCAGCAGCTCTTTTTCAATTCATCCGAATCTCCATTAATCTTCATAATTTAATGCAAACTTCAAGATTTGCTCATTAAGACACTCCATAGCCCTATGTGGAGGAATTCTTTTTTCTCTCACCTAATCGACCATCTAAGCTGTCATTAGCTTGGCACTTTTTCTCCAAAACAATTTAAACCAACACCAACGACTCTCATGTACCTTCCCATGTTCCCCTTCCCTATTCCCCATATATTTTATTCGCCATGTTAACATGCCGTCTGCATATGTTTACCCAAAGAAATTTTCAAAATATACTTGAAAGAGGGAACATTTTGCTAATGGCATTTAAAACATGAAGGACACGCACACACGCACACACACGTGACGCTGCCAGCTGCATGCAAGTTTGACATATATTTTAGCATATTGTGTGTCATTTGGTGTGTAAAAACGTGTGTCCATATACACACATACATACGTGAATCCATATGCATGCATACAGTCGAAATCGCCTACAATGACATATCTTATTGCTTATTGTAATTGAGATTGTATTTGCTGTACAATTTAGTCCTTGTTATTGTTAGTTCGAAACCAAAAATGAGGTGATGATGACGTTTTATACTTTGAAAAATCTGATCAAGCTGATGAGTAGAATGAGACCGATAAGGGGAGAGAACAGTTTATAATATACATATCTGTTTGACTGATATTGATATATAAAGTACACTCTTATTTATTTCGATTTATACATTCGAAGCCATGTCATTCAAAAATAATGGACTGTTTTCAGTATTCATTTGAAGAACTTTGTTTCTAAGTACACATCAGTCCTTTAAAAAATATATCTGAATATAATATTATCATTGTATAATATTTTGAATTAATTTTCCCTTGGCTGTCGTTATATGCGATTTGGACTGTATATACGGATATATACATATGTATGTGCCTGTGATGTTAAAAGGGGCGCCGCCAGCTTCCGCTCGCTGATTTTGTTCCCATTACTTGCCAATTTGGTTGTTTGTTGTGAATGAATGCCGATGTCGTCATCGTCATCGTCCTTGCCGCTGTCGCTGTCGCTGCCAGCTGTCGCAACTGTATTTGCTTTGTGTGTGCAAACATACACACAAAACGTCAGACACAAACACACACGCACAGACACGCACACATGTTCAGTCGGTTGCTTGCACGTTCATTCGAACATAAGTGATGATCGCACGACCAAATGATTTGTCGCCAGTTGCCATAATATAATGTAATCACCTTCATAGACTTCAAACTTATAAAACTCTAACTCGGGAGTAACTAAGATAAGCTATAGACGCCCTATTCCCCGTCCATTCGAAAAATGTGAATACTAAAAGCCTGATGGGAACCTTTCTCTTGCTATACTTGTACAAGTACTCCAGCAGTAGAATTAGATTTATTCGAATGAGCTTACCTAGAACCACAGCCACATATGATTCTCTGTATCCAATGCTCAACAACAGCACACCCACTATTCCATAAATATGTCAGAGCCTGCACTGCTTTTTGTGGAACTCAGTAGGCTGGGCGTAGTATTCACTCACACTAGTTTGAGGACTTTTTGTAGATCTAGTAGGTCTGAGCAGTTCCTGTCACATCGGTTCAGAGAGCAAAACGTCATCTTTGATTTAAACTCATTAGTCTCCGGGCGATTGGTGAAGCAACATCGAAAATCAAATTAAAATCAATTTAAATTTGTCAAGTGCTTTCTAGTTTGGTGAATTGTGACTGGTGGTTCCAGTTCAAGCGAACTTCTGTGAACTATTCGGTAAGTTCTCCTTTCATTTCATTCAAATTGTTCAAGTGGTGGCTAATTTGCAATTTTGCAGCAACAACGTTTTGGGGTTGCCAGAAGTATCTGACTGACAGTGTAAGGGATTGATGAAGTGGAATCCTTATTGCGTTGCAATGCCCAAAAATCCGAATCCGCAGTGGGTGCCCCCGCCACGACGGGAGCCATTTTATCCGCCTATAAGAGGTGTTGTACGGCCAAGGGTTGTGCCACCAGCGAACCGGCCCGGTCGTAGGACGAACTTGCTGGAGGAGATGATGGATGTCCTGCAAGATATTTGGGATAATCCCAATTCCACGTACTTCCAAAAACCGATTGATGCCTTTGCCATGGGGATACCGGACTACCATTTAGTAGTTCTCTTCCCCATGGATCTTTGCACAATAAGGAAGCGATTGGTGAATAACTACTATTGGCAGGCAGATGAGGTGGTGGAAGACTTTGAACTAATGTTCAAGAATTGTATGTTGTACCATCCAGAGGGCTCGCCACCGTATGTGGCAGCAAATGAGCTGAGACACGATTTCTACGCTAGACTAGCCTTAGTCGATAAGAGCAGCGAGGTGGAACTGAAGCCCGGTGATGAAAAGAAGAAGCGCAAGTCCGCGGCGCCGGAACACTCGAGTCCGCCCGTCAAACGGGCATTGTACGAGGTGCCAACAAACAAGAGTGCCGAGCACAACGCAAATAGCGGCGACAATTATGTTTTGGATCGATTGCATTGCGGCCATCTGCTCAAAACATTACGCAGTGAAAAGTATTCCAGATATACTTGGCCCTTTGACAAAGAGTACTTGACTGTTTCCAGTAATCCGAACTACAATGCCAGAAAGAGGGACATACTGGATTGGGCAGCTGTGGAAAGAAACCTTCTGAGCGATCGCTTCAAAGGCATTTCAGAATTCGTGGCGACAATGTGGAAAATGTTTGAGAACGCTCTAGAATGTTTCCAGCTTGACCCAATTCATACCTATTCCGTGAAGGTGACTCGCGAAATATTTGAGTCCCTCTTGCCGCGCTATCGAAAGCAGATTGTCGATGCAAAGATGACCAACGGCGAATATGTCCCCCCTAACAATGCTATCACATTTGAAACCCACACTACGAGCAGCTCCCAGGACCCACTCTTTTATCTGTGCGAAGGCCCGTCGATAATGGAATCCGGTACTCAAGAGCAGACTATGCAGTCACCGAACAGTTCGTCGGAATACAGTACCACTGAGTGCAGTGGTGGCTCCATTAGTAGTATGAGCATCGAATCAGACAACGATTCGTCCTATTGTGATAATGAAGTCTACGGTTGTGAAGCTAATGAACTCAAACACCCAATAACAGCACCTCGGGATGAGGACTCCATCCTAGATATGCATATGTGATGAGTTCTGCACCGATGTCCTCTGATCAATACAATCTGGATGCGAGTTAAGAAAAAATACACAGCACATGCGATATACGGAAAACATTTCCATCACATTTCCGTTTTGAAATCGAAAATCCGACGATTCGGATGGGAGAGTAAAATAGAAATGATAAAATGCAGGGACTCAAATGGTTTTCAAAATGAATAAACACTTAAATACACCTAAGCAAGAATGGAATGCTAGAATCGAATTTTTGTAATGCAGTTTTTCTTAAATAAAACTCATTAAGTGAATAATAGAGTCGTAAAGTTACATTTATATTAATATTCCGGCATTATAGAGTAGTAGAATACAGACATGAACTTAACTAATATGTACACCCCTTTCCCTTTGGCTACAGAGTATAAGAAATACTTGTCAAATTGGTTTTTGATAAGCAGGCGCTAGTTAATTAAAAGTCGTCCGCTACTCGGGCTATCTATCCTGATTATGGATAAATGCGAGTATATCATTTACACAACTTGTAGCCTATCTTTAATTCTAAGTGAATGGAGCTCCCATTCTGCATATACATATAACCATATATAAAATATAATTCATTTACAATTTACAATTTTATATTAGTCTTTAGAGAAGCTGAAGAACTAGTTCATTTTTCTTTATCCCCTTCTCTGTGCAATTAAGCAGGTCGTGTCATTCATTCGTAGCTGCAGACAGCTTGCCACAGAAATCCTTAAAAGCGGGTCGCGCTCACGCTGAAAATGTGGCAGCCTTCTGGCCACAGCCAGAAGCCACGAGGACCACAAACTGCGGCCGGCTATTAAATCAGTTTATTACAGCATTAACATCGTCATCATAATGAACTGGAAAATGATGCAATTGTGCGAAATGAAAAGCCAGCAGTTTAGTTTATTTTTATATATTTCATTCTGAAGCTTTGGTTGTTTGTACAAATTTATTTAATTTTTGTGCGGCTGCCATTGCATTGAGACCTCAAAGACAGAGCCAGACAAATTAAAAAAAAAAATTCACATTTAGTTGCATTGTTCTGCTTTTTGATAATCAGCGGCAAAACCTTCGCAAAAAAAACTCGCTCTGACATTTCTCATTTTTGGAAATTAGTTTGTTTTCTGGGTAATTGCAAAGAAGAAATAAAAGGAATACATTGGAGTTGATATATGTATGTACTATATGTGTAGGTATATTGATTTATAACTATTTACATGCATTACAATTAGGGGTTCTATATTTTGAATAGCATAAATGTTACGCTTAAATGCTAAAGAATATCTTTGTAGTGTTGCGCTTACGCTTTGCCACACATCTGCTGAATAATAGTAAATGGTTCCAGCTGTCGGGCATAAAATTTAAATTATTAAATATACATATACATGGTGTGTGCTTTTGTTCACATTTATATTCGTATCCTTCTCTCATTATTGATGGCTTGCGATATATGCTATATACACAGAGACAAATACGACGACACTTACCTACATTAATGTGTAAATATTAATATTAATAATAATATAAAAAAAATACAAAAATTACGAGAACTAACTTTAAACAATTTGCATACAAATATAATATCAAGTAATTCCATTTCGCATTTGTGTGTATAGGTATAGTGTACTAGAACTAGCTATAACTTTAAATAATCACAATGAAATATTGCTAAAAATTCTTCGTTGCACCAACAACAACAACAACAACACACTGGAGCAGCAACAGTTGCCTGTCCTGCCCTACAATCGTTAAGTTACGCGTACACTGATATAAATAAAACTATGGTATTTAAAAAAAAAATCAATTAAAATTAGTTCAACAACTTAAAAATGCAGCACATAGTATAACAACAAAAAAATTATTGGAAAGGATTGCAAAAAAAAAAAAAAAACAAAAAAATTGGTGTGATAGAAAAAGTAGTAGTTGGGTTTACTTTAAATACTAAACTGTAATTGTTATTCGTATTTACACATGCACCTCGAGAAGAGCTTAAAAGCAATTAAAAATTGTGGAGAAAGCTGAAGGATGTGCAAGTGAGGGCTACAGCTTATCGCCTATGCAACTTATCAAACAAACGAACTTCAACACAAAATTGAAACGGATTTGACAAAAGGGACAAAGGACATAGGCATAGGAGAGGCAACAATCTGCGATGCGCTCCAACAACGCTCTGCGGCAAAAACAGCGAGAGCGTGCGAGCAGCCAGAGGACAAGAAGTTAGGGAGTTGAGAGGGGTATGCCGAAGGAGTTGGGGATAGGGGGCGAGCCTTTAAGCTGCATTTGCATGATTGGTAACATTCTAGGTCCTATTGGTTTAAACTATCAATTATTAAATACTACCATTATTATATTGTTGTTAGCGACTTTGTGATTCTTGCGTCGATGCTGTCGATGTCGACTGAAAATTGCTGATGAAACGCAACAGCAATGAACGGTCCTCACCGTTTTTGTCAACGACACGATCGATGCGCCAGCCTATGGGCATCCACCAGAAGGGCGTGTAATTGTCGTTGTTCTCATTGCTGCTACTTGTCGCTGTGGTTGTTGTTGTTGTTGTTGTTGCTGCTTCTGTTGTTGTTGTTGTTGGTGCTGCTGTTGCTGTTGCTGTTGCTTTTGTTGGTATTTTGGGTTCATCAACTAAACTATTTATGCTAATTATATTAATATTTTTATCGCTACGATTTCCATTACTATTAATTAAATGCGCTGCTACAGCTGTTGTTGCTGCTGTTGTTGCAGCTGTTGTTGCTGCTGTTGTTGCTGCTGTTGTTGCTGCTGTTGTTGCTGCTGTTGTTGCTGCTGGTGCGGAGCCATCATCAGCAACACGTGCTGTTGTTTCTGTGGATGCTGCTGCATTGTTAACGGCACTCGATTCAGCAATTGTAGTAGCAATTGTTGTTGTTGCTATCGCTGTTTCCGCCACACCGAAACCTAAAATTGGCATTATTTTGGACCAAATTGTTGGCAATGTTGCAGCCTCGCCAACTGTTGTCGTTGCAATTGCATCGTCAGCTGCTGTTGCAGTAACTTCATCGCTTGCTGTTGTTGTTGTTGTTGACGCTTTCGTCAAAACATCAGTTATTGAGTTATCGACTGTGGCAGTGGCTGTTGTTGTTGTTGTTGTTGTTTCACTGCTTGAGGCCTGTTGCTGCTGCTGCTGTTGCTGCTGGGACAAGCGCCTTTTGCCCTTTACCAGCTCGTTTATTATGCGCAATTCTTGTTCGAAATTATTTTCACTTGCTCTCTTGTCGCCAACTCCAGCGCTGCCGTCCTCGTCCCCCTTGCCGGCAATAGTGTTCATCATTAAATTGTCACTGGCTGTCATATCGCTTTTGTTATTGTTGTTGTTGTTGTTGTTGCTGCTGCTGTTGTCTGTGCTGGTGTCGCTCGCATCCATATCTTTGAGCTGTGCGTCGCCAAAATGTTGATAATAAAACCGGTCATCATCTTTATCACCATTACCATCACCTTCACCAGCACCAGCACCATCATCATGATCGTCATGATCGTCATCATGATCATCAAAATCAGACTCATCATTGTGGCTGGCGTCGGTGCTCAACTGAACCGGTTCCACTTTCGATTTTTTCAAGACAACGCCATTTCCACGTTCATCGCCTGGTTGTTCTTCACCTTCACCTTCTTCTTCTGCTGCTTCGTCTTCTTTCCCTTTGGCCTGTTGCCGTTGCGGATGTTGTGCCTCCAGCTGCATTGTGGGTGTGGTCAACGCACTTGTTGTTTCTGTGGCTGTTTCTGTTGCTGTCGTTGTTGTTGTTGCTGCTGCTGTTGTTGTTGTGGTTGTCGTCGCTAATGAGGATGCACTGCTCCTTTCTGTTGCTATTGCTGTCGCCGTTGTTGCTGTTATTGTTGCTGTTGTTGCTGTTGTTGCTGCCGAGCTAGCAATGCTGCTCATGTTTCTGTGCAATGCTACAGTCTGAGGTGTTTGGGACTCCATATTGCTGGCCTCCAGCTTCACAATGCCAGCACCTGGCACTGTTGTGGGAGCATCATCATCGACGCCATCGTCATCGTCATCATCACCGTTATGGCTGGCATCGTCGCCTTCGCTGTACGCATACTCCTCGCTTGAAACAGCCATTGGCGCAATGTCGGTGCTGGCGACCTGCTCCTCCTCCCCCTTCCTCTCAGCCTCGAGCTTCACCTCTTTGGCACCATCAATGTCCGCACTCAGGAGCGGGGAGAGGCGGCGATGGCTGAACGACGGCTGCACATCGGCACTGGTCGGATAGGCTGGCAGAAAGGCGTCGGCCTTGAGCAGTTGTGCGAAATCCGCTTCACGCTGAGTGCTCGTGACCAGCTGGACGGCCTCCCCGTCATCGTTGCGATTGGCGTTGATTCCCTGGAGGCTTGGCGGTTCAAGGCTGACACCCACGCCCGTGGCAGCCGCATCCGGCCTCAGGCCTGCGGGCAACACGATCGCATCGATGCTGCCAAATGGAAATGGCGACGAGGCTGAAGCAATGCTGTCGCTGCTGCTGCTGCTGCTACTATTCGGCATAGCAATTGTGTTTGTAGTTGTTGTTGTTGTTGTTGCAGTCATTGAATTGCTGGACGCTGCCTGCAGATCCGCGACAATGGCGCTCTTCCTCCTCCCCCCATCCAGCTGCAAAGTGGCACTTGTTGGTGTTGCCACCGAAATAGTGGGTGTCGTGGCAGTGGCGCCTCTTGTGGTTGTGGTACTAGTTGTTGCTGTTGTGGTTGTTGTTGCAGCGGTAGCGGCTGTTGTGGATGTGGCATTGGACTGGCCGGATTGTGTGGAGTTCAGCGAGGGCGGCTCCAACACCGTGGGTTCCATTGGCTCCGCATCACCAGCGCCCGTTAGCAATTTCTTTTCAAATATATTAAACTTTAGTGGCGCATCCTCGCTAGGCAGCGCCTGATCCTCAGTGCTGGGGGTTGGCTGCTTACCCATTTGCATGGACGGCGCGGGCGCCTGTTCAATAGCATCCCCCTCATCGTCGCCATAGTCGCCGTAGTCGAAGCCGCCAGTGGTACCCGGTCCGCCACCCAGATCACCGCCCAGCAACTCCATCAGCTCCTGCTGCAGTATGTCCGTGGGATCGATGTTGATCTGCGGTATGCAGCGCTCATTATAAAGCTTATGACCGGGCGGACAGTGGCGGAAGGGTAGTGTGAATATCGACTTGGCCGTCACCTTTTTCTCCGACGTCTTCTGCTCCAGTGGCAGGCGTAGCCATTCGTCCCACGCCAAACGCTGTGCATTGCCCTCAATGGGGCGCGAGGTGATGGGCAGGGCCTGGCTGGGCCAGCAACAGTGCAGGGCGGCCAGCGCCAGCAACAGCAGTGGGAACGGACTGGAGAACAGCCTGCGCCCGGCTCTGTGTTCGGCGGCATTTGCTGCCATCGCGTGCTTCGTCCACCGCTCCACTAAACCAATCGATTCGCCCAACTCTGCTGCTGTCTAGATTCTTCTAAGCTCTTTGGTATGCGCACGCCTTCTGCAATCAGACAGAGAGAAAGAGAAATGATGGTGGTTAGTAAGCAGGCTGACCAATCCGGTCCCGGTCCCGGTCCCGGACCCCAAACAACACCCCACCCAAAGCGACGCCTGCGGGTGCCGCTGGCCCAGAGAGCGCTTTCTGTGCCAGCCAGCAGCTGTTTTTCTCCCCCATCCCCTCCTACGCTTTGTTTGCATCTTTTGTTGCACCAACAATACCAGTTTGTCAGGCCGCACAGTGGGGAAATAAGACTCATTGTGCTCAAAAATTACAAAATGAACGTAAATCACTCTAATAAAGGTTAGGTAATTGCATTACATTTGTGACGCTGCCCCAAACATTGGGCTAGAGATTTGACTCGCTTTTAAGCAAAAACTGTTAATGTTAAATCAAAAGCCACTCTTGGCACTAACAAATATTAATTTTTATTACACTTTATTTTATTAGAATTCCAGTTTACGTTTCATTGAAATTCAACTTTAAGTCTAGTATTCCGAAGAGAAAGAAAACCCACAAAACAGACATTCAAGCGATCCAATTTCGACATCTTCCAACAATTGCTAGCAACCACATTTCTTCTTATTTTAAGATCCTTCTCCCCACAATTAGGAATTTAATATTTTGATAAACAAACAAGAGAGAACGCTACAGTCGAGCAAGCCCGACAGTGTAATACCCTGTACCCAGGTAAACTTCCGTCACTGAGTTATATGCGCCCATAGCAGCAGCAAAAAGAGGAAGAAGAAGAGCGAACTTGTTGCTGCAGTTTGGGGGGGTTGCACTGGGGAGAATTTGTTTTGCTAATAACTTTTCTTAGAATTGACCGAATTGAATAAAATTTCATACAACAGTAGACAATTATATATTAATTATGTGTGCAAAATTTGGTTTAGGTAGCATTTGAAATGTGGACGCTATTGACGAAATTCTGTAGCGGGGGAAGGGGGGGAAAATTAAAAAAAAAAACATAAACTCGTCCTTACTCGGACCTAGGAGAATCTGGATGCCAACTTTGGTTATTCTAGCTTTTATAGTTTCTGAGATCCTCGCGTTCATCCAGACGGACGGACAGACGGACAGACGGACAGACGGACAGACGGACGGACAGACGGACGGACATGTCTAGATCGATTTCTCTCGTCATGCTGATCAAGAATATATATACTTTATGGGGTCGGAGATGCTTCCTTCTGTATGTTACATACTTTGCACAAACCTAATATACCCTTTTTACCCTACGGGTACAGGGTATAAAAAGACATCTTCGGTGTGAATCAGATCCCCTGCTCTAAACACGATTTCCGCCAAGATTATTAAGTAGTAAGTATTATTAAGTCTTAAAATATGACCGCATTATAAATATTTTATGAAATAATTGATTTAATTTCGTAAAATTAGAATGAAAATATGAGAAGTGCTTGGACCAACAAAAATTGTTGTTTTATAAAAAAAACTCACACACGATGTTATTGTAAGTTTCCAAAAGTGTTTAATTTAATTCAATTATGCACTTTCTGAAATTCAAATGTATCCACGCTCTACTAAATATTCGACCTTATGTCCAGGATATGGGACAATCATTTAAAAGTGACCCTACATTTCTTCAGTTCCCCTCAAACTACAATACAAATGCAACTAAAACTACAGAGGGAACTAAGGAACAAGCCTTTAGTTGCTTTTAAGCTTCAGATGATTGCTGATGATGATTTTCGATTTGAGATTTCTGCATTTGAAGATTTGAAGTTCCGAATGCTTGTTATATCCAAAATGAGTTCCAACAAGCCCATAAAGTAAATATTGGCTTTTCCGTTTATAAATTCAAATTGAAGGCAATCCTTCAAAGAGCCTATTTTACAGAGCTTCCAATTTCCTCCCGTATGCTTTAATGATTTTTTTAAGACATCGGAAGTCAATGGTTCAGTATTGGATAGACGGGTCAGAGGTTTGAGGTCTGGGCAAATTTTCCACTTGATTCTATGTCTCTACCATTGTACAGCGGCAGCAACAACATCCTCATACAACTACTACAAAGACTATGAACTTGGGGCATCTTGGCAACACATTAATATGTGTATAAGTATATGTATGTATGTATGTATATATACATGTGTGTGTGTGTGTGTGTGTGTGTGTAGATAACTCGCATCAGTCAGCGATGTTGTCACAATCAACAGCCACAATAAATGCTTATATACACAACAGCAATAACAATAATCATCATCATAATAATAGCAACAACAACATGATTGCAGCTCATCAACGTCATGAGGCATGAGGCATGAGGCACAAATGCGTCAACTTGTTGCTGCCACCACCACCACCACCACTGCCAGCTGCTGCTGCTGCGGCTGCTGCTTCTGATGATGATGTTGCTGTTGCACTTTGCTCAAGATACACGCGCAACACACATACACACGCACACGCACACACACGTAGAAATGTTTATTTATATAGCGACATATATGTAGGTTATCGGCGGTTTCTTAGAATTTATGAGTTCAAGTGTGTTGTGGCATGCAGCGGCCTCAACATTTCCCATTGCTTGCCTGCCTGCCTTCGAGTTAATGTTGGTGTTGTTGCCGCTGTTGTTGTTGTTGCTGCTGTTGTTGCCTTCCGCCTGCCATTGGCATCGTAACTGTTGCACTTAAGTTTATGGCTGCTGCCGCTTTGGCTCTTGTTGTTATTGTTGTTGTTATTGTCATTATTACTTGTTAATAGCTTTTTGGTGGGCCTGCGCCATAAAAACTGGACGATGGCCGTCGTGTCGCTGTCAGCCTTTCAGCAGCAACAGCAACAACAATAACAACAAGAGCAACTAACTTGCCTCATTTACAAGACGTGAGCGTGTCGAATGCGTGTGAATGTCAAGTACTTCTTCACACACACACACACTAATGCAGTGTGAAGTGCATTTGTCGCCTGATAAGGGTAATGTCATAACGGTATTATATAAATGAGAATACCATTTCTCTGTATCATAATTCAATTGAGCTCGATCCAAGTTGATAGCGGGAGCGAAAGAGAAGGGAGAAGTAGAGAGAGGGATAATGACCTTAAAGCAGTAAATAAAATGCGATTTCAGACAACTTGCATTCGAGTTTCGAATCCGAAAATTTCTTCATCAACCCCACTAAAGCAATTTATCTTATACGCATAATTGAGGCGTCAAGTTGACCTCGAATGGACGCCCTTTAGGGCTCCTCAAGATCTCATTGGAATATCTGTATTGCAGGGATGAAGATTGTGCTCTCTAGTAAGCATATTTGAAATATAAGTAATCGCACAATCTCTACACGAATTGAGGTTCAATGATGAGTGGAGACATGGGTGCAGCATTCCTTCCAAATGTGGGGGGGTAACTTCTATATTTAGTTGAAATTATCGATTCACTTCATTTTTTTAAGCTTAAGAGAAACTGGCGAAAACATATTGATGATCAAAGTAACAAATATTATCTAAGTTGATACAATACAAGTATATACCAAAGGTACAGAGAGAACAACTTTTGTCCAACCAAGGAGATACTTAAATACTTAATACACCAAACGAATGTTCTATAAAAAGTGTTCACCTTATTGAGGTGTTCGGATAGAAGAAGTGTCCCTTAAGAGAGTTTTCAATGTATACAAGTATGTATACATTTTTACCATTTCAATACAGGGAATATAAGATATGTTTATACCCTGTACCCAAAGGGTACAAGGGTATATTAGTTTTGTGCGAGTGCACATGGAACACACAGAAGGAGGCTTGGTAGACCCCACAAAGTATATATATTCTTGATCAGCATGACAAGCCGAGTCGATATAGCCATGTCCGTCTGTCCGTCTGTCTGTCCGTCTGTATGAACGCAAGGATCTCCGAAAGTATAAGAGCTAGAATAACCAAACTTGGTATACAGATTATCCTGAGACCGAGAAAGGACGAGTTTGTTCATTTTTTCTGATCCACCCCCCCCACTCCCCCCCTATTAACGATTTTCTATAACTCCCGTAATTCTTGGAATTTTGAACTAAAATTTGGTAGTCACATTAGGTTAGTAATTATATATCCGTATACCAAGTTTCATTATGATAGAATGATCGAAAAGAAAGTTATAGCCATATAACCAGGCCCAATGCACACATACATATGTACATATGTACAAGTACACAAACACGCATAAGGCACGATTCTGATGTAAATGTAAATGTATGTATGCATGAATGGAATATTTTATATTTAATTTAGTTAATTAATTAAATTAATTTAGTTAATTAATTAAATTAATTTAGTTAATTAATTTAATTTAATTAATTAATTAATTTAATTACTTTTTTGTGGGGTGGTACAGGGTATTTAAGAGTTGAGCCTGTTCGTCTTTAGTATTCCTTTCTTGTTTTATTTTCATTTGAATGCATGCATCACAAACCATCGCTTTGTTTTCGTCTTCAGCATTGTGTATGAAATCTACGAATCCATAGAACTATTATTCAATTGCAATTTGGTCGCTTGAAACGGATCTGCATCTGAGTCCGAGCACTTTCTTTTATGCCTGCAAACAAACTATGAAGGAGGGCGATAATCGTGTGCTCTAAATTGCCAAAAGAGTGCATCTGGGAAACTATTAGATGTCTATCCAAAGAATCAAAATTGCCGAATTAGGATATTCACATATTTTTGGAGTGAAACGAGCGACCTTTAAAAGGACCAATTAGTTGGGATATCAACATTTCAGTGTCTCCCTGGGACCCACACTTTGCGGGCAGTTCCATTCATTCATTCATGTAGGTGTGGATAAATCTGCACCCTGCTGACAAATACATTGGCCAGTTCGATTTACTAATCTATATTTATGAAGGCATCCATCGGATTGTGCGAGGAGCTGTTAAGCTAGATGCTGGGAGCAGGATGCGTAGGAAGTGCTGGCGGTGCAGGAGCAAAGGGGCGCGGGTGAGTGGAGTGCAGGAAGAGCTGTCCATGTGAATGGCATGTGATGACTGCTGTTCGCTGCTGTCACG